GCAACTCACCAAATACACAAAATAATGTTCTTTTTAGCAATATCATATGACCCCTTTAAGAACATTTGTTACAAATCAGGATATGATTACTTAGATTCAAATATTATTTCAAATGTTTTGTTGAAGTCCTCCAAGTTTCACTTTTTGTATGTTATACACCTTAAAATTGTTACATTTTTTAATTAAATTTTGTCATCAGATTTTCTAGTTTTTTTTTTTTTCACAGTCTACTTCTGTGGTCTCTTCAAATACAGTCATGGATGGAATATCTAATAGATATTTAAAGGGGTTCTATTATGCTCTTTTACAAAGTCTTGATTTTGTTTTGGGGGTGTACTAGAACAGGCTCTCATACTAGGTTGTTCGAAAAACACATTATTTTTCACATATTTTACATTATTACAACACCTCTCTCCCCAGTCTGGCATGAACGGCTCAAATAGTTCCTGTATCAAATGAAGGCCCGCCTTCTGAAATACGAAAAGTGCTGTTATTGGTTAGCTTGGCCAGTGTGTGTTGTTATTGGCAGCACTCGGCACCTGGTCGGGAAATGTCATGCCTTACCATAGCCGCCTGCGAGCTTCAGTGTAAATATAGCGTCAAAATCAAATCAATTTGAGCGCGGTTTAAACCCGGATGATTGTAAATACTCTAAGTTCGTCTGCCTTGGGAAAGCTAGCGTAGTTTCGCCAACTAATTTTCAGTGAAAGTTGCTAAAGGAAGGTCAATTTGTTGCTAAAAGTTGCTAAATGATGTTGTGATGTCATTGCATCAAATCTCAGCAAATATTTTTATAAATGTCAATTTAAATTTGTTCTTAAAATAATATAAATGCATAATATAATATTAATATAAATAAATATTTTTAAATACAACACTGAATTATTGAACACTTACACATTTTTGAACAATTTAAGTTTTTCTTATTTGCACTAGTAAAACTACACATTCTGAACAATTATAGTTTTAAGCAGTGTATTAGTAGTTATTTAGTGTGCTACACCCTAAGAAGAGTCTGTAAATCTTCTATGTTAATATGAAGGCGTTATCTGTTTTGTTTTGTTTTTTACCTGCATTTTAAATTACGCATTGTATTATCTTGTGTTTTCAGGTTGCAGGATTACAACGGATAATGGATTGGAATATAATGGATGGATGATGGATGTCCTGGAAAATTACTAGTACCTTTTCCATTTTTCTAGATATTTTTCTTACGGTGTACTAATTGATCAACAATCACAGGTACAAGCTAACAAGGTGTATCATAAATGAACAATTATTCAATTATTATTATTATTATTAAATTGAACAATTGCAAATAGCAACTAAAGTAATGTGTGTACTGCTAGGCATCTTTGGTTTCTAATTTTGTGTAATTTAGTTGGAAAATGTGTGCCTTTTTATTGTTTGAGTCACTTATGTTAAAAATAGCTAAATTTGTTGCTAGGTGCTTTTGGAAGAGAAAGTTGCTAGGGTAGTCTGAAAAGTTGCTAAATTTAGCAACAAAATTGCTAAGTTGGCAACACTGAGCTAGCGTGTCTCCGACGTAGTGATAACACTCGTTGCCTTCTCTAGTGCAGCTCAACCAGGTCTCGTCCCATTCGTCGATATTTGTGATATCACAAATCCCGGAAAATATGCGATGTAGTCCAAACGAGTCGTTCGTTGTAGTTTTTGAAAAGTGATTTCTGTTAAATAAAATATCTCCTTTTGAGTTGAACTTTGAGCTTTGTAACTTTGCAGATCTTTTTTATGTTCAAACAGCAACATTACAGACTAACTAAAGTTGAAAAAGTGAAAAAGTATAATTGGACCCCTTTAAAGTAATCTTTATACCCGACTGAATAACAATCAGTTTATAGGCATTGATATTTGAAGATAAACCTGTTGCTCTCATGAACTCAAGGAAACACAGGAATGCATGTTAGGTAGGCACACTGCTGCTTGCAGTCAGTAAGAGTTTTATGTTGACCCAGACCACATTTATAAAAAATAAAAAAATAAAAAAAGCAGTAAAACAGTATTATTATTAAAATTAAAAATAATGGTTTCCCGTTTTACTATATTTTAAAATGTAATGTATTCCTGTGATGCAAAGCTGAATTTTTAGCAGCCATTACTCCAGTGTCACATGATCCTTCAGAAATCATTCTAATATGATGATTTGTTGCTCAAACAATTCTTATCAGGTGAAAGCAGTTGAGACTACATACAGTGAAAAATACACCCTAACCTCAGTCGTTCAAGACAAGACCAGCAGGAATTTGAGCACTTAAACATCCTGTTGCTCTCTTTTTCCTTTCCTTAAAAGTGTTCCCATTTTTAAAGCCAGGAAGCAGTTTTGTGGAACGATGATAGAAAAATTGATTGTGAAATCTATTTAGTGTGGCTATCGATTTCCCCATAAGGGTAAGGAAGGCAGACCGTGTGAGTAAGATAATGGAATATGGAACGGGGGAGCAAGAGCCCAGAAATGGGAAGTGACACTGGTTAATGGAGTAGAACTGGGCTGTTTTAGGTTGGGTATGAGAGTGTGTGCGCATACATCCGTGTGAGAGGTCCCCACAGCTACAATAACACTCCACAGTTTGCTCTGCATTTCAACTAATCCATTTTAAAAGGACAGCTGATGCAAAAAAATCTAATTTGGTCATTATTAATGCAATCTAATGTCATTCCAAATCAGTCAGCTGTTATTTACCCAAAGAAAACAAAATAAGCATTTTTTTATTCAGTTTTTATCTGGGAAAACTGGTGTTTTAAGCAACACGACTGTTTTCAGCACTGATAATAAGAAATGTAACCTGAGGATCAAATACTATATCATATATTGAAGGATCATGTCACACCGAAGAATGGCTGCGGGAAATTGAATTGAATGACATTTTACAATATATTACAATTAATTAAATATATGCAGTCTTGGTGAGCATATTGGCCCCTAGGTTTTAGTAACATATGTGAAAGGTGGATTCTTACCACCTGCAGGAGCATTGTTGTAAATCACCAGACATCTTACAATTCCTTTTCCACATCATTGGACAGACACAGATTTTGTCACTGACTTATATTGGAAAGGAAGGAAAGTCGGTCTGGAAGAAAGACTCAGAGCAGTGAACACAATATTGACGAAACAATGAGCAGCTAGACAGCACTGAACACATCGCTGCTACAAAAGTGACTGTCACTTCATTTGAAATCATTCACAATTATTTAAATAGTCTGGCCATAACTACTGTATAATAAGTGAAAACAATGAGCTGTCATTCCTCCTGTGTGATGGGTATATGACTCATTGTACATGCAGATCTAAGTTGTGCCATTAGCAGTCAATGCATCAAGCTATTTCAGGATTTCTAATAAGTATTTATCATTGGGGGAATCTTACTTAATGAAATTCAAATTGTCTCTGCATACATGACAGCAATGGATGACTATTTCAGCCTGGCTGCACCAGGGGAAAAAACCCTGCTGCACCTGAAAATGCTAGCAGGCAACCTGGACGGACACATGTGGTCAAATCATTCCTTCATGCATCGTCAATACCAGTTTCTCAATCAACACATCTTTCTTAGAGCCACATATTGTAAACAATGTTGGAGAATGAGTCAGAGTGGAAAAAAACAGAGTTCTCATAAATATGTCAGTCTGGTGCCTACACAAACAATAACTGTCAGTGTAAACAGCATGTAAAGGAGGAGAGAGTATGAATAAACCATAGAGAGAAAGAATGAGAGAAGGAAAATGACAATGTTTTTTTCTTCATCATGAGATCAAAAAGCATGACAAATGTAAAGAACATGTAAAACTGAAGCTTGAAACACTGAGGGCATTTAATGATCTCGTCCTTCTACGAGGACATTGAGCTGTTTATGTGTGAACCTCTCAGTGACCAGCTACTGTCAGTTTAACAAATCTAACCTGATGGTAGGCCCATGACGGCGAAGACCTGAGATGGTGAGAGATTAGAGGTGCGATTAGAGGAAGAACCCAATTATCCCTCAGCATGAGACTGACCACTCGAGACACTTCCATTATTGATTTACAATTACATCACTGCATCTTCCATTGGACAAGCCTGATAGACAGAAACAAGCAGAATTTCATGTAGAGTTCACATGATCACAGAGACACATTAAGCACATGAACAATGGACTCAATATGCATTATGAACAAACTGGCTTTTATATGTTGAGAATATAAACAATAATTTAAATAAAGGGAAGGTTATTCAAAAGATTCAAAGACCAAAGTCAAAAGGCAGCAAAGCAAACGATATTTCAAATGATTCTTTACAAACTGAAAGGCTGTTACTGCCACCTTGTGGTAGAAATAAAAAAGTAAACTTACCTTTTTATTTTGGCTAAACCTGCTACAAAGACAGTTACAACTGGTGCAAAAGTCGATTTATGCTCTGGAATATATAGTCAAAATAAACTGTGAAAATACTTGCAATGACGCTGCGAGTAAAACTGAAAAACAGCATTTATTCCCATTGGTTACATTACTTATTTTACAGTTAAAAAACAAACAAAAAATACTGTTCAGATTAAATCGGAGCAGAAATCAGGTTTGGATAAAACAAGCAAACACACAAAACAACCAAATTGACTTAATTATATAATTGCATTGGCTTAGGATGAATTTGTTTTCGATTCCATACTGTGAGGCATATAATGGCAGTGAAAAAGCAGTGTTTGTACCGCACAATAAAAATGTCAAGATAAATTTAAATTGACATCCTCAAAAAGTTAAATAACACAGCATTTATTAGAAAAAAAAGCAAAGCTAGTCCTATTGGTTTACTGTGTGTGAAAGCTCTTTCGCCATCTAATGGCTGAGGACAACAGATTTCCTTTTCAGAGTCCTCAATTGCTGCGCTTTATACACAACAGAGACTGAATCCACTTTGTTACGGGAAACAAAACAGTACTAAGAAAAGCAGAGGACAATTACCCCTAAAATCCCATACAACTCTGGTAAATTTTACTTAACACTGCCAAAAATACAGATGACCATTTTGAGAAAAAACAAAAACAAATGTATGGCAGTATGGTAGACTTTGCTTTCAAAATACCTTTCCATAAATGCCACCTCACCTGGCAGTTCCTTAACCTTCATAAAACAGGCACGTATGTGGATGAGAGGCAAAATCCTGAACAGACATAGCACAATTGTCCTCAAATCATACATGAGATCTGTTCAGGTATAGAAAAACAAAAACAATGGAAGGAAAGAACTGAGCATCTTCAGCAACCAAAGGAAGAGTTAGGAAGTGAAAACCATGGCCATTGACCTAATTACTCTTTTCTATTGTAGCTCCCATACATGAAAAGTTTAATACTTCACATCTGTAATACAATTGGTTCTCTCACTATAGCACAGGAATGACATGTGACTGGTCATCCCATTTGATGTCATTAACCAAAACTAAGTTTATAAATAAATAAATATTCCCATATAATCTGCTTAAAGCACCTGTCAAAAGAAAAGCCCTTCACCAGGCGTACTAAATATCACGCAGGAGTGATTCCTAGAGCTTTAGTCTTTAAGTGCCTGAAATCTGTAAGGGGGAACAAAGAAAAATGATATTCTATTCTTCTTAAAAAAAATAAAAAAAAAATTTAAACCAAAGTTGGTCAAGTACATTGAAAGCGCTATAGCACACAGTCCACTGTGTTTAAAGTAGTAAAAGTTAGGATTTGAATTGTTCATGCAGGCACAAATACTGAAGCCATGCATTTCTTCTGGGTCTATTAATATTTTTGACCCAGGATTCACACCTTCCCACTCTCAGTAGCAAATCAAGGCAGTTAACCCTCTCTTTCACCTTACAGATGCTAAGCAGATGCAGAGATGACGTTTTGTTAAGCTAACAAAACAACGGCGAACCAACAATACGAGGCCAGTTTCTTTAAATTACATTCTGTACATTATATATACTTGATTTGCACTATACAATATAAATCATCATCATAGATACCGTGCTTTCATTTTAGCCCAGAAATGGTTTGTCAGTCTCCCTGCCTTCTTCGATATAAGGGAACATTTTTTAAAACTAGTATGTGAGTGTGCGTTTATAATACATGCATGCCTTTAAGATGTTTCGGTCATGCTATGAAGGTTTTAATGACCTTCTGTATAACCTGGCCACAGCCTGGGCAAGGAGCATGAAATCTGTGTAGCCTGCGGGCACAGGGGAAACAGGTGATCAAGTGAGCTGTGCGGCCATGGATGATGTTGCCGTTTCGCGGCCGCACTCGGCACAGCTTGCAGGGTTCCAGTATGGCCTCTGGTTGGCATTCTGTCTCCATGTCCAGCGTGTCCTGGCTGTCTCCCTCTGAGCTCTCCTGTAAGTGGTGGTGAAGCTGGGAAGGACCCTTTCCTTTAGACGAGGAGGTGGATGATGGGGGGATGTTTCTAGCGATGTGGTGCGAGGGGAGGACGACGGGGTCAGACACAGTCCTAAGGCAGTCAGGCATGTCGATTCCATCATCATCCTCCTCGTCTTCATCCCTCTCAGGACGTGAACTGCAGGCGGGGATGTCTGGCACGGAGATTGAGTGCACAAGACGAGGACAATCCTTGTACCAGTCTTTCCGCAGAGCCCAACAGCGCATACAGTACCTTTGAAGAGGGGTGTTAAATTTGCGGCACTCTGAACACTGCCACGCATCCTGCCAAAAGAAGAGGTAATTTGAATAAGATATGCCTTCCATGTATGTATAACTATTTAAGAACATAAACAGAACAATATAAAGATGATCAACTTAAATATACACAAACAGTTATTTAAATCTTACCCTTTAAATATTAATTTCATTATACAAAACTGTTCAAAAGTTTGGGATGAGTACATCTAAAACTTTTATTCAGCAAGCAAAAAGTGACAGTTAAAACATTTATAATGTTGCAAAGGGTTTTGAAAGTAATCCTGTTCTTATTCTAATTTTTATACAAAGAATCCTGAAAAAAAAAATCACTGTTTTACTGTTTTCCAAAAAACTTAAGCAGCACAACTGTTATTAAAATATTAATATAATAAGAAGAAATGTTTCTTGAGCACCAAAACTGCATACAATTATTTCTAAAGGATCATTGACACTGAAGACTGGAGTAAGGGCTGCTGAAGCTTTGCCATCACAGGAATAAATTACATATATTAATTCTCTCAAATATATTAAAATAGAAAACAGTTATTTTTATTTGTAATAACATTTCACAGTATTACGGTTTCTAATTTTTGATAAAATAAATGCAGACTTGTTGGACAGAAAAGATTTCTTAAAGGGAAAGTTCACCCAAAAATAGTGATGGAAATTTCGATTCTTTCAAGAGATTCGTTCATTTTCAGTTCGTTCACCAAAATTAGTTCAGATTCGTTCACTGATTCGTTCAGTGACCATTTCTTCATATTGCATAAATACGCCAGCAGGTGGCAAAAAAGAGTGTCTTAGGTGTTGTATTCACTTGTTACAAAAACTGACTTGGCTTTATTAAAACGTGCATAATCTACTCATTAAATAAATAAAGTCTAAATAAGTTGTTCAGAGCAAAAAGAACGTTTCGTTCACGAACTAAACATCACTACCCAAAAATGACAATTCTGTCATTAATTACTCACCCTCATGTCGTTCCAAACCTGTAAGACCTTCGTTCATCTTCGTTCTAGATTTCACTTCTAAAATATTCAATCTGTTTAAAAAAACGATGTATAATATTCGACAGGCGTTTTTCAGTCCATTTTATTTCACTTTACAAATTCGCTTCCACAAATTCAGTGGTTCAAATTAGCCAAAAAATTCGGCATTGCACATCAGGGAACTGACAAGAATAGCAGTAGAGCACCGATGCATGATCGCCATCTGCTGTCAGTTGCTCACCAGCAGGTGATGCAAGCGGCTGTTGATGAAACCAACTGGTAGTGCAAGTCATTCATTCATTCTAGTGATGGAAATTTTGATTCTTTCAAGAGATTCGTTCATTTTCAGTTCGTTCACTAAAATGATTCGTTCAGATTCGTTCACTGATTCGTTCAGTGACCATTTCTTCATATTACATAAATACGCCAGCAGGTGGCGAAAAAGAGTGTCTTATGCGTTATGTTTTAAGTCAAGGAACGTATTCACCTGTTACAAAAACTGATTTGGCTTTATTAAAATGTGTGCATAATCTACTCATTAAATAAATAAAGTCTAAATAAGTTGTTCAGATGACCAAAGCACAAGGTTTTCTTGCATAATTAACATTTTAATTGTTTGGTCAGACAATTACACATTCATAAATTGGGGATTAAACGTGGAGTTATGTTCTGTATGCTAAATATGAATATATAAACAAGCATATGTCCACAGTACCTATAACTGCGCTTTGCATATGCTTTCTGCTGATTGCTGATCGAGATTGACTCACATGCTAAATGGCCGACTGACCCGGTACACTCTTATTTTTTTCTCACACAAGAGATATATGTAAGAGTTCATTCAACTTGTTCACGCGAGATGTAGCACTTCATTCAACACTAAGACCTTCGTTCATCTTCGGAACACAAATTAAGATATTTTTGATGAATTCCGAGAGCTCTCGGACTCTCCATAGACAGCAAGGATACTACCACGATCAAGGTCCAGAAATGTAGCAAGGACATCGTTAAAATAATCCATGTGACATAAGTGGTTCAACCCCAATATTACGAAGCTACGAGAATACTTTTTCTGTGCAAAGAAAACAAGAATAACGACTTTATTCAACAATTCGTCTCCTCCGCGTCACCCTGGCACCATTTTGGAGAGTATCCACCGAATGTAAAGAATGTATGCAGCACCGCGCGGAAACGTTGTTTTCGTTCAGATCAAAGCGCAAACAACGTATCCGTGTGGCGCTGCTGACACAGAACAGCATACGTTGTTTACGTTCAGTGTATACTCTCCAAAATGGCACCAGGGTGATGCGGAGGAGACAAATGGTTGAATAAAGTCGTTATTTTTGCTTTCTTTGCACAGAAAAAGTATTTTCGTAGCTTTGTAAAACTACGGTTGAACCACTGATGTCACATGGATTATTTTAGCGATGCCCTTGCTACGCTTCTGGACCTTGATCGTGGTATCCTTGCTTTCTATGGGAGGGTCAGAGAGCTCTCGGAATTCATCAAAAATATCTTAATTTGTGTTCCGAAGATGAACGAAGGTCTTACAGGTTTGGAACAACATGAGGGTGAGTAATTAATGACAGAATTTTCATTTTTGGGTGAACTATTCCCTTAAGTAGGTAGGTCAGTATCGGCATTGGCCATTTAAAAATAATTTAAAAACGGTTGATCACTAATAAAGAACAGCAAAAGTACTATTTTTCTTATACGCATACCTGTGTGGAGATCTCAGTATCAGTGTCATCACTTAAACACTGAGAGTCATCATCCCGATCTTCCTGCATCTGAAAGTGAAAATGAATTGCATTTAGCTGGTTATGATGACTCAATAATGTTAAAACAAAACAGTCAATAAAGAAAAAACAACATTACCTTCCTGTCATCTTTACTATCTTTCCCAGTCTCCTCTTCTTCATGTGGGGACTCCGCGTCACTTCCCTGCTCCAGCACTGCCTCCTTCATATCCACACTAACTTGCTCGCTCTCTGCCTCATTCAGGAACCAAAGATCATCTGTGGTGTCAGAAACAATGGCCGTGTCCTCGTCCTGTCCGGGAGAGAGCTGTTCCCTCAGTCTAGTTGTGTGACAGTCTCACTACAATGACTAAACTCCAATAAGACTGAGTTTTTTTTGTTGTTTTTCTTGTTTTTCTTCATGAAAATAACCATATTAATTATGTTCTGGTGCCCTCTTACTTGATTGGTGTGAATATCCGTTGAACCATTGCTCCGGCGAGTGTAATTACTTCGCAGGTTACCCAGAAACCACCAGGGCAACCCAGAAAGGTCCCACTCTTCCAGAGTAACGTCCAATTTTGGCCGTTTGCAAGCAGACCTGGGCAAGCCATCTGAGGAGTCTGTAAGATCAATATCTGATCTTAAATTACATATTACAATGGAAAAATTGATGGATAATGATAATATTGATTACATTGTCTAAAGTGTGTTTGGTGATTCATGCTGACCTTCATCAGGATCGCGTGGCCTGCGCTGCGAGCAGCTCTGCGTTGCACCAGTGCTGGAACTACCAGCAATGAGAGCCTGTCCAGGGCTAATCAACCCACTGGAAACCTACACGGTAAGGGAAAAATCAAATCAGCATACAGTAATGACATGACACTCGGTAGGACAGCAGTTCCTTCACAGCAGGCGCCCGTGTGTGTGGCAACAAAAGGCCATGTTCTCACAAGTTGTGGGAGGGGAAACAATAGGACGTTTCTAAAAAGGTTGCTTAGAATGGGTCACAAATGATGGAGATATTAGACACTGCTGCAGCTGTAAGAGCAAATAAAGTAGCAACAATCAAGTAGACACCTTGTATCTAAATTACATCTCACCAATGTGTAATTACTAGTAGGGCTGGGCGATATATATAAAAAATATATATATCTCGGTATTGTCAATTTTTACGATATTCAATATATATCTCGATATGTTTGCATTTGCTTTTCATTATAACAGTGAAATTCCTAATAGTAAAGCCAAATTGCCATAGCCTATGTTTCTCGATTTAAACAACAGCGATTGAGTAAGTGCATTTATTCAGCGATCACAATCGCAAACAATATAGATCTCGATATGTTTGCATTTGCTTTTAAATAATAAAAACATGAATTTCTTTTGCCCCCATTCAAAAGAACAACAAAAACTATTTAGATAGAAGTTATTGTTACAAAGTAAATACAAAATGTTTAGTGCAAATTTAAACAGTTAAAAAAAATCTAGACCAAGTGATCACTTACTGCTTTTTATTAAATGAACACATGTATATGTAACTGAAAAAACAAATGAAAAACATTATAACAGTGAAATTCCTAATAGTAAAGCCAAATTGCCATAGCCTATGTTTCTCGATTTAAACAACAGCGATTGAGTAAGTGCATTTATTCAGCGATCACAATCGCAAACAATATAGTTGAGATCTCATAACAGAACACAGACTGGTTGAGTGACACTTTCATTTAGATCGCTAAACTCCAGCTTGTTTGTTGGTTTTCAGATCATTTCAGAATTTCAGCGCATGGTTGCCAGATTGCTTAAAATAAGCAAAACACTGGACAGAAAATGTATGCTTGTAACAGCAAAGCTCTGATTCAGGGATTTGAACTATTTATATCTGGCAACCGCACTCATGAAAGCAGTCCGCATTAACATGTCTCCCTTTTTTGGGGCGTTCCTCGTGTTTTTTGGGGAAAGTATGCTTGAATTTGAAATATTCGATATTCACGATATTTTCTAATTTTACATTGTCGTCAAAATTATTGCAATATTATCGCTAATATTCGATATATCGCCAAGTCCTAATTACTAGTAAAAAAAAGTAAATTCAAAATAACACCTTTTAAAGTTCATATTATTAGCATGAATCACTCAAAGCCTTTCTATTTAAAGTCTAGTGCAAATTAGCACAAACGCATGACAGTACCAGGCACCTCCTCCCAGACTGCTTTTCCCAACTCCACCTAACTTAATTCCGCCAACTCACAACCGTAAACCGTCATGCCAATGGTGTTAAATGTGGATGGGTGTATGACAGAGGGGAAAGGGGAGAAAAGGGCCAGTGAACTGAGAAGGAAGCTGCAGTCCTTCTGAAAGAACCAACGACGCAGAGAAGGAAACTCTGAGCGACAAACAGAGACAGGTACTCTGTCCCCCAGCAGCCAGGCCCATGCTGGTGGCTTCTCCGGAAGGACCACCAGACCAAGCCGGCCGTGGGGAAGTACAGAGACGGTGCCACTCTGTACAGATACGGCTGGCGGAGACAGCTGCCGCCCTCCCCTTCGTGGCAAACAGGCTACTGATCATGATGCAATTCTACACACAAAAATTGCATCGTAGCAAAAGTCTGAGCAACTACAATGTAAAGAAAAGATGTGAAAGCTTGAGAAGACAATTATGGGCATTAAAGCAACATTGATTAGAGCACACATTAAAAAAAATGGAAAAAGCTGACAAATGTAAAAGGTTGTAAGTATTGTATGCTTAATGACCTAAATCATATAAAAAAAATTTTTTATAAAGTACAATACATTTTGTACTCAAAATGCCCTGCACAAAGCACTTTTGTCAGCCTTTCATTTATAAAGAAATCACAAGTAACAGAATTAATCAATAAATTAGATTTATCATGATCAGGATTTATTTGATTTTCTGATCAATTGTTTGCCATGAAGAGGAGTAGCGGACACTGTTTCTCCTCTGCACCATGCTTTAGTTTTACCTGACCAGGATCTTCACTTGGAGACTCATTAGAATCCTTGCCGACTGAAAGATTCTTTGCTGCATCTGTATTTCAAATAAGACACAGTAACAAAACAAACAAAAGAAAAAAAACAGCCCTTTATTCACCAAGCACACCTCAAGCACACTTGGCCCAAACGTAATGCCTGAATCTGTGGTGGAAAATTTTGTTTCTAATAAACATTAATATTAGTTTTATTATTTAATCTTTTATTTAACCTAGTCAAGTATTTAACGTGAAGTCAAGATTCTGTATGAAGATTGCACAGTACACTAACCTGATAATACAATTAAAAAAGTTAGGTGGAAAAACAAAACAAAAAAAGATTTTACATACCCACTGTAGCACACATCACATTCAGACATACATACACACACACACCTTAAAATGAAAGGTGGGGCTAATCAAAATGAAAGAAAGCAAGAGAGTAAAAGGGCTAAATGACAGCATGACAAGTCACTCAAAATATGCATCTTTGGGAGATCAAATTCAACAACAATTAGAATGGACTTACCCGAATTATTCAAAATAAACAAATTCCTCTTCAACATCTCATACACAGGGCTATGAAAGGCAGAAAAGAAAGACGTAAATACCTGATACATGTTAATCATCTCAAGGTATTCAGAGTTAGCTGTTAAAGGGGTAATTCATCCAAAAAGACCACTCTGTCACCATTTACTCACTCTCATGTTGTTCTAAACTTGCATGACTTTCTCTCTTCTACCGAAAATGAATGTTAGCGCCCCCTCGTGTCAATTTGGAAACATACTAATAACTTATCAGTTGATAATGTACATTTTCAGCTGTATTTGACTGCAATTTAAGTAAAAATGTGTGTGTGTGTGTTTTATACTGGTCATCATCCAAACAACTAGCTGTCTAGATATTGTCAACAACTGAAAAAACAGACACAAATGAGAGACATCTTTTTGTTTTCTCTGCCATTTAAATCTCCTTTCTGGTAGTTATGAGCTCACCTGGGGTTCTTAACAGAAAAGCTCCCCACTTCCAGTAGCTCTCCAAGTGGGTCATCTTGACAGTGAACAATGTGCTGTCTCTGTTTGTCATACAGCTCCTTCATCATGATGTACTGACCCAGGTAGTGCATAACCTAATTAAAAACACTGCCTTTATTAAATGTACCTTATCAAGCTGTTCAAAATCTTATCCAAAGCATGTGTCAATAAGCAGAGGTCAGCTCATAAACACTCCTCACCTCCTTCAGGGTAAACACCTCCTCCCGAGCACCTGCTACTCTCAGGATCTGCAGCAGAGGACCTCTGGGGTGGACCTGCAGAATCAAAAACCCACGTTTTACAGTATGAAGCCTACTTTATCATATTTGATACATGAACTAAGGCCTATAAATTATAAAATAATCAAAACTTTGCTTCAAATTCTGTTGCACAACCTACTACACGTACACGCCCTATGATTGATAATTACTTTTTTTAGATATATACTTTTTTAGTAAGTAAGTAAAAGGTCTTTTATAGTGTAAGTGTAAAAATGTCCACTTTCAGCTATGAAATCTTGTTCATAATCTTGAAATTGTATAAAGTAAATGTAAGAATAACTTGGTAGTAATATTTTAAAATAAACATGTACTGATTGAAGCAACTTTTACTGACTGGTATACTGAATTATCCATACATATTTATTTATTTTAAAAATCATGTTAAAATATAAATACCAAATATGATTTAACAGGCTTGTGATTAATGTTTCTTTGTTCATCACTCAATAAACATTATATTGCATTATATGCTTGCCCCACAATTAAGATAATTTAAATAGCATCTTAAGTCATATTATTAGAAAGACATTGAGACAACGGATAATTAAATGCATTTTATATGCATTAAAGTCTCATTGGTTTACATCACAAGCTATCAGAATTTCATCTTACTAACCGAATCCACCCAAATCGCATATTTTTACTCCGTTTGGGCCTCTGATTAAAACGGTGTTTTTTTAATGAGTAAGAGCTCCTATCTTACTACCTAGGCCTAATGTATCAAATAAGACACAAAACACGTGCATCAACGTTTTAGAAATATATTTTTTCTGTTCAACAAACAGTTCCATTTCTTAAAACAACAACAACAACAAAGATTTTTCTTTTTATCGTTTCATACGTCAGGCTTTACAGGGGTAACTATATGAAATGAGAGTTAAAATATAGTAAAAATGCATATATTGCTCACCTGAGTCCCTTCCCCTGGAAGAGTCCTGCATGAAGAGCTTGACCCCGTTAACTGAGATGATGATGATGACAATGAGGTCATGGTTGACTTAAGAACTGTGAGGAAACATATTTATATTCAGAACAACGCCAACGTCTGTTTTATTTACACCCACAAAGGGCTGTCTTTCAAAACCTAGTGAGCTGTCTAACTAGACAGCATTTCTGGGCATCATAGATGTCGTTCAGATCGAGATTGACAGCTCAATAGAAATAAAATGCATGTTAATAATATATATATATATACAGTGCACTCGAGTGTTAACTATGGTAAAAAAAATTTTTAAAAAAAGATAAATAAAGCTAATGTATTTTCCTGAGGGCGTCATAATGTAGCTGTCAGCTAACTAACGTTACACAAAAACAATCATTTCTATACCATTTCACGCGCACAGGACACGTTGGAGACGAAAATGACTTTACTTACCATTATCCTAGTTCTTGCATTTGGATAATAAGGTAAATTGTGATAGTTGGCTGGATTAATTTAAATTCTCCGAGGTTGAAACAAGGATGCTAGGCTAACGTGCGCGAGCCATCAGCGTTCTACACTTAGAAGTAAAAGAGCCGTTAATGTTTAAACTAGACCTGGCGTGATCGTGCTGGTAGTGCATTCACACTCACCGTGTTATCTGTGAACGATTACATGGTTTCCAGTTTTTAAAGAATCAAAATTTGCGTAAAGAAAGGGAGAGGCGTGTGGGCTTGTTTGAACGGTTGCAGTCAGTTGAAGTTGACGTGGTGTATGTCGTCATCGGGGTTGCCAGACATTACGCAGATCCCTTTTTTGTGTCTAACCGCGGGAGAAGGGTGTTCCTGCACAACCGGAGGCTGCAGTTTCAGGACCGCAGTTCTAGGACCCTATGCTTTTGTAACAGCGCCACCTAACCGCGGCGCTATAATGACCTTTACTGCAATTCCCATTAACCATCCTCATAAATAAATACAAGTCTACTGGGCATCCTTGTTTTAATGTTTTATACGTTTTCTGGTGTATTATGTATTAAGCAGTGTTGGGAAGGTTACTTTTGAAATTTACATTTCCATTTCGTCATTTAGCAGACGCTTTTATCCAAAGCGACTTACAAATGAGGACAATAAAAGCAGTCAAAACTAACAAAAGAGCAACAATATATAAGTGCAAATGACAAGTCTCGGTTAGGCTAACGCAGTACACAGAAATGTAATAGGTTACGCATTACAAATCACCCTATTTAAAATGTGATTAAATCTTACATTTTATTACTTTTTTAAATTTCTAATGTTTTAAACTGTTAAAGGTCCCATATTTTACACCTTTCTGGAGTTTTATTTTAGGTTTTGATGTCCTTAAGAATATATATTTGCGGTATAAGTACCAAAAACCATCTCAATATATTTTTTACAGCAGCTCTCTCAGGAGCTCTGCTGAGAACAGGTCGATTTCGGTCTGTTTAATTAATATTCATGAGTCTCTCTTCTGATTGGCCTGTTGTGTTCTACGTGATGCACGGCCAGGCCAACCACAGGTAACTAGGGTCAGCCGACGTCACAGCGCTAGCTGGAGGCAGCAAAACAAACGAGGAAACTGGAGGCGGCCCATTCAAACCAGTGCAGAACGCAACAAATCCCCGACAGAAAACTGCTGCCGGGTTCTATTTATGACGTGCTGACACAAATTTCAAATGGTTTTCAACGGTCGTTTGATCGCGTCCGGTGTAGGCAGACTTTAGCTGTTGTAGACCCGGTGTTACTCACCTATTGAGAAGAAACAAAGCAACCTCGGCGTCCGATCGTAGGCCTCCGCTCCTTGAGTTCTCTCCAGCGCTGGAAAGCTGATCCAATATTTACACGGGTCCTACTTCTTTGCCTTATCGTTCCGCAGACGTTTTCCTCTTTTGTTTTTTATCCGCCATCTCTATCTTTCTGTCGCTCGGCTCGGCTAATGTCCGTCCCATGCACTGAAAGCTCTCTCCTCCACATCACGAGTAGACACGCCCCTTATTGCTGATTGGCTACAAGTTTGTTTTGCTATTCGGCCCGAATCAGTTTTCTAAAGTGTTTTTGAAAAATCACATACCCTGCCTTTAACCATGCAGCAAACAGTTTTAAATATTTTGATAAATTACTGAAAAAATAAACAATTAAATGACTTTTTAAACCGCTTAACTGATTGTATTAATCGGTCAAAATTCTTACCGTCGGTTAACCGGTTAAAATGAACATCCCTAGCTAGGACAATTTTTAATATAACTCCGACTGGATTCGTCTGAAAGAAGAAAGTCATATACACCTAGGATGCCTCGGGGGTGAGTAAAACAGCCTAATTTTCATTTTTGGGTGAATTAACCCTTTAATCATTTTCATTTAAACCAGGCAGGGTTACCAGTACTCAAAACTTATTGTCAGACTTTCAAATCCTTTCAAAATTAAGATTATAATATCTTAATTTTAAATCACAACCACCACCACAAAAAAAAAGAAGAAAAAAAAAGGCATTTAGCACCTCTTTTTACTTTGAGATCTCTGAGGTTAAATACAGATTTAAAATCATAAGATATAGTTTAATAGTTTTGATACCGTTTTTGAAATCAAATCCTTGCATAGCCATGACAGGAAACACTGGCATCTAAATGCCTTGGGGGGAAAAAAAGAGTTAATCTAAAAAAATAAAGCATATACATAAATCCAAATAGGAAATAAAAGTTATTGAATAAACATGTCCTAATAAACTCCTGAAATATTGGTGCCTCATATTTTAAAGCAGTCAATGCAATTTGGGAAAGAAATTAATCAACATTTTAAGGTAAACACACATTGTTATTAAGGGGGGCATTCCCTCATTTTTTTTTTAATACTACTACTACATCATACATATAGGCTACATAGGCCTACAATAGATTTGTTAGGAAGTCAGACAAAACACTCTTCTGAAGTTTTCTAAATATATCACATCATGGCACCTTTGCCTAGCTTTCTTCCTTTAACAAACTGAATGTTTTCCAAAGAAAAACAAAACAAGAAATCACAAGAAACCAGGACATGAGCCTCATTGTATTTCAAATTCTAATGGCTTTATTTATATATAGATTTGTATATATAGTTTATATATTAACTTTGACTTCAATTGCTTGATTATCCTTTTTTTTTTTTTTCATTTTTGTTCTTTTAGATTTAAACGACAGGACATAAAGAACAAGGCATTCCACATGATCATATATTACAAAAAAGTAAAGACTTGAAATGTGTGCACATCACACACATACATTACATAGATAATACACGTGCGTTAGTATAAATAATGAAATATGGGCATGACTGAATTCACTTCGACAAAAGAAAGCAAGCGTACAGAGAGAGAAACAGAGAAAGGAAAAGAGAGAGCGAGAGAGTGTTATGACAGCTAAGAGAATAAATAATTCACCATATTTTAATCCAATGAATCTGTTGCATAGCTCGAAGCAAGCAGGACTGACATTTAAGCATGATAATGATTCTCACAAAAGCTAAATGAAAGAAGGGCTCAAGAAAATCTGGATGTTTTTTTTCACCAATTAAAACACACACTGACTGAAGACACCGTTCGTGACTGTCAGATCAAGAATCAAGATCTCCTCTAGCACACACACTTTGTTGTCTGAATCCAAAACACATACTCGACTATTTATTCCAAATGCGCATTGACAATTAATTAAATGGTAATTCAGCTGCTTATGGTGATTTTTTCCATTCATGCAGCATTAAGATTGACACAGCTGGGTCAACTTTACATGAATTTAGCATGATTCAAAATGAGCTCAACTCACACTTTGACAATGGAAAACAAACCAAGTAAGTGCACACTACTTTCCGACAAGAACATTTTGAGTCAACTTCTCATCATTAGACACCGATTCGGTAACAGTGTATCCCCCTACTGTCACCTTATAGCCCTTAAAACTACATTACATTAGGTGAGCACATATTCTCTGGCATCTTATAGAGACTGTAAACACAAACATGACACTGGGACACATTTGGGCTTTTTAGATTCACCAGTCGACATTTTCAATTCAATTATGCAAAATAAATGCAAAACATTCACTTTCAGTTGGAATCGATTAAGGCCTCCACACTTTCCCAAAACCCATGATCAAAGACACAGTTTTCTCATTTTCAATCAATTACTCAGGACTAAATCAATCAGACACAGTGGTGCAGGTTGTCCATGTGGTCCATTGGCACTTCTGTGATCCTAGAGATGTAACAAAAAAAACAAAAAAAATCACAAAACACTACATTTCTGTATGTGTAAAGTGACTGTAAACAGATTTTTTCCAACATTTTATCCCTCGCTAAGCAAAGCCCTTGTCCTTCAAAGAGATCTTGTTCAGTAAAAGTAACACAGAAACCTAGTTTGAATGACATGATTCTGCTTATGATGAGAATAAATGGTAATGACGTGCTTTAAACTAAACTCTTAAAAATAATGGTTCCAAAGGGGGGTTTTCATAGTGATTACCATAGAACCACCAATTTGGGTTTCCTGAAGAACCTTTCAGTGAGCTGTTCTCAAAATAATTATTTTCTTCTGTAGAGGTCATTCACACAGAATGCGTTTTAGCTTTGAAAAATGTGAGACACATGCAGTGGAATGGTGAAAATGAAAGGCGTCGTTTTTAAAAAAAGTTGAACCCGGCCCTTTAACTTGAGCACTGCATTTTTAGAACACCATCTAGCAAGTTTACACACAAAAACAATGGGATTTAGCGCGGTGGAATGGACGCATTCTATGTGAACGGCCTCTTAGTATGAAGAACATTTTAATAAATCATAATGGAATGGAAAGGTTCCATGGACGTTATGGAACCATAGATGCCAATAACCTAATTTTAAGAGTGTATTTCACATGCAGTAACAAAAAAAAGACAGCTGAGTTTTTGGATTGAAGACTACACATTCATTGGCTAATGGAAATAACTAAACCTAACTTGTATGAGTTTATTAAACAATGCTCTCTCTCTCTCTCTCAAAGCCCTCAAATAGAGGAAAAGAGTAGGAATAAAGAGAGTAAAGGGAATCAGTGCATTTCAGGAAAGTGAGATGGGAACTCAAGTACGACTGTTGCCTACCTTGAAAACGCAAGTTCTTCAGCTTTACTGCGCTAGAGTCTTTCATCTTTGATGGGTCATGCATGGATGAGAGGGAGCTGTCTGGATGGAGTCGGTAACCCACACAATAAGGTGATGGAACATCAAAGCTCGTACCACTCTGCAATTAAGCAGTTCAATCGACAGCCACTGCTTATGGCTATAAAAGTAACAAAACAAAGCCAGAGCGAAGCGTAACTGGTAAAAAGACCAGAGATTGTTCAAGCACATACTCTGGCAGTCATTCCCCAATTCCTACGCCCCAGTAATTAGGAAATTTAATAGAGTAGTGCTCTCTCGTGATGCCTAGACAACACGTTCTTCCCTGAAACAGCATCGAGTCAGTGTGTGTTTTCTTCGCAGAGTCTACTGATGTGTGAGTGTGTGCGTGCTTATCACATTCATTCTGGAAACAAGTAAACATTTGGGGACGCCTCATTCCATATGTAATCATGCAGAACATTGAACACATATATTGAACAATTACGATTTTTTTTTCCAATGCAGCCCCCCCCCCGCAAGTATACAGCGTGGTTTAAGCTACACAGGACACTAAAAATACCAATCGCACCAGGTTGTACATATTGCTTTGAACCACCAATTTGTTTATAAGTAATGCATGCCACATCGATGATATTATGTTTATACAAAAATAACACCAGTATATATTACTGTGTTTCATATGAATTACAGAAAACAGATGTTCTATTGACTACTTTCCCTGCAGCCAAATACAATTTTCATTTCACTCAACGTCAGATGTAAATGGACTAAACATATGCAAAATAAGTGGTTATAACTTAATGTTATATTCCAGTTTTAAAACAATCTTTTATTTACAGCTGTGGTGTATCATTTCCTCCCGTCCCCAACCAAGCAAACAAGAATTGTCAGACAACTTCAGTAGAGTAGTAATGCGTTAAAATTCAAAGTTATTGCACAACACCTTGAAGCGATTCTCAGTTTACACAATGCGAGAGAGAAAAACATGTGCAGTAACAGAAATTGTTCTAAAGAGCTATTAAAGGGAACTAGGAAAGAAAATGAAAGACAATGGCTTTGATCGTCTCCCCCTTTTTCTGCATCCATTCTGATCAAGTAATGAAAAAAATAGAAGCGAGTGGAGCATATTTTAGATCCTCATGGGAAAGAAATATCCAAATATGGATGAAATCCAGTTATAAGTTATTCCAAATGAACAAGAACAAAGACATAAGTCTGTACAAAGCAACACTTTGGCAGAATTTATATAAAGCTCTAACTGGAAACCGTTCGACTGCTTCCACATCAAGTCAAATACATTTGTACTTTCGTGTAACATACAGTATGTATGCTTCATTTATATCCAGAGCTGAGTATGACAAAAATGTTTTCACAAAGACAAATCAAAGTTAAATGATGACAACACAGAGAATACATACTGTAATAATCTCTATTTTCCATAGCCGACACTTTGCCATGTTAATGGGTGATACAGAAGTCTCACAGAAAATAAATTATGCTTTATCAGTCTAAAAGAACATAGAAGTTGAGCTCGAAAACCTCAAAACCTTTAATTAACATTTCCCACTGTAGTCCAACAGATTCTAATTAGGTGGCAAATCATAATATTTTACACACATCTATCTGGGGCTGCAGGTTTGGAGTACGCTATTCGGGATAAGGCCATTAAATGCTCACTCTTCTGTTGACAACTCGACCAGACCCCTTGACTTTACAGTAAACACTTAACTTTCTCAGCTCGGACATTAAATCTGAAACCGCATGTGGTTACAAACTTGGCATAAATATTTATATATATATATAACTGAAATATGTACTCAACTGCTTATTTTGCTAAGTTGTCATGTCACCAAACTCTCTGGCCTATACACCTATATTTATATATTTTCCCAAAATATTAAAAAGTGCTTAATATAAAAATACAGAACAATTGTAAAAAAAGGAAAAAAACATTGAGTTTTATATGAAATTCATGCATGCTTCCTTCCCCACAATAACATACCATGTTCCACTTAAGCGAAATAACAAAAACTGCCAGTAGGGGGAAGTGCAGCATCAGCCGACTGCTGTGGAACCTTTCCGTAAACATTAAAGTGGTCCATCTAGGGTTTTTTTTTCCTTTTGTCTTTAGGCAGTGACTCTCTGTGTGTTTTTCTAATTTGGTTGGAAATACAAAATAAACTGCAAAAACAATGGGATATAAAAAACAATCTATAAAATATGGCTCGGAGCAAGTAGAAAAAAGGTGTAATTTGAGGAATCCATCGAACCTAGATTGGTATGAGCGGAAGGTCGGTCTATGGCAGTAGTATGTTTCGGCTAATAAAAAGCACATGTCGTTGAGGCCGCACTCTTATGAAAACAGTCCAATCTAGTTTGTCATCCAGGTTTCAACAGAGCTCACAGGATCCAACAGAGACCCTTGCTGCATGTTATTGGGTGTTAAAGTGTTTTTTTCTTTCTTTTTCTTTTTTTAAATAGCAAAAGCATGCTTACTACGTGCAGTATCCTTACCCTCACAGGCTAAGTTCAGGGATGGGATTTTGGAGCTCTACCAGTGCCGTCGGAGTAACTTGGAGCTTATGTGGAGCACAGCCTGATGTTAGATAACAAGGAGAACACCTAACTGCAGAGCTGAGGTGAGAAAAAGACTGGATTTGAAAGTACACACATATAGAACCACCTCTATCGCATTTTTTTTCTAAAGAAGAAACAAGAAAAAAGAAAATCCTATTCATTAGTTGTTATATCCCATAAAGGTTAGTAATACAATTCCCATTCCCATACAATCAGACACAGATCAACCTAAAGACAGATACATGCACACTATGATGAGGTGCTGTACCTTCGATAAAATACTTGGTCAATTAGCTGGGCATTCGTTTTGAGGCAATTGAGCATTAACAAGAGACTAGAGATGCCCATTGGGTGTGATTTTGATGAGATGATGTGTAGGATGACCCTCCCTGCCCCCTTAAGAGCCAATCAGGTATTCTTAACTCAGCTATCCAATAAGTTTAGTTTATTATAGTCTTTTATTCTGCTAACGTTCACTATAGCAGCCTTACATCTGTACATATAAAGTGACAGAACACCCAAAATGAGCCTAACAGCATGGTATGTGACAACGTCTGAACACATGACATGAATGTAGTGTCTGAACCACTTAAAACGTCCATTAGAGCATAAAATCATTTTAAAAACTAAAACAACATTTTCAAACCACCTTAAAACAGAGCAAATTAAGGGAGAGTAGAAAGAGAGAGAAATCTATTCAAATAGCAACTGAGTGCATGAATATAATCGGCTGTACCACCAAAAAAAACAAAAAAAGAACTATGTGACTGAGAGTCCTGGGACAGATAACAAAAATTATTACAGCATTACACAAGACCAGAGACGTGACAATATAAAAATGAGAAAAATCACAACTGTAGAAGAGATAAAAATGCCAGTGACAGGCTGAGAGAGGGCGTTTGCCGCAGCATCGCCCTCTAGTGTGTAAGTTAGGCCATGCGTCACACGGGCTGCAGCACAGCCGCATGTACTTACAGAGCGCTGCTGCTGCTGCCGACACAGTGCAAGTCGAGAGGGGCAGAGGGGTGGGGAGGAAGGAGGAGAAGAGAAAGGGATCGTAGTCGCCCCATCGGCCGCTGTAGGTGCTGCTGTCTCTCAGATGTGTATCAGCAGAGCTCCACCGGAGGAGTGGTGCACAGGTTTTAAAAACAGAACAAACAAAACAAAACAACAAAAAAAACGATGATTTCGGGGCAGGAGAACGATGTGAGGTTCACACGGAGAATTCATGGCTGTGAAGAGAGCGACCCGGGGGTTCGCCGCCACCTCCGTTTCTGGAAGAGGAGGGGAGGTGCTCAATCTCTACACAGCCCTCGTCTATCGTGGGGACGCGGGATTCCTCCTCGGAGAGGGGTACAAACTCAGGGTGGGACATGAAGTTATGAATGGAGCTTCTTGATTCTGGCTTCTCTAGGCCCTCGTATAGGGAGCTACGGAATGCGTTCACCACCTTAATCTGCAGCGAGGAGTTGGGAGACAGAAAGAGAAGAAGGAATTAGTGGGATCATATTGGCACGGGGTCTGCTTCAGAGCGGGATGCGCTGGATCTGGAGGGGAACAAAAATATGGTCAGCGGTGGGAGATGATTTCATTTCCACAACAGCACTCAAGCTCCTTATGAAATATTAAACAAACAAATAAAAACCAACAAAAAAACAACAGCACAGACCGTTGAATAGAGAAACAGGGATAAAATGAATACAAACCACGACTGTGATGCAATTTCCTATTTGGGGCAAGTGAATGAAGAAATCAGGCATAGCATAAAACCGTAAGTGGGACACATCCATATCAATCACAAGCTTCGAAACGGTACAAACAAAATGACCACAATCACAGAACCACTGCAAGACGAGACAGACATGCAACCAATGTTTGTTCAATAAGCTATTTAGGAGTCAAAAATGGCAGATGTTCAGCATCGCTTTTGGGTTTATGAAAGCCTGTCAGTAGGGGTGGGCGATACAGCTGTCGGAACGCTACACTGGTAGAAATGGTCAACTGCAGAAATAGAGTATTGTGTTAAACGCTGCCGCATGGTAAAAAACAAATGTGCCAAATCACATTACATTCAGGAAGGAAAGAAGGGAAGTTACTGTTGCTAACTCAAGATTTCCTAAAAATGTTTGTCTTCAACCATGGCAAGAAACAATCAGATTGTGTGAATTACTACAGTGAATATTAAATGACATCTAGATGAACTGACTCTTTATAGCCAGTAAGTGCCACTAAAAAGGACGCTACACTTCATCCAAAATGTCAAACTGGGTTTATAAAAAGTTTACTTCAGAACTGCTTTTAGTTGATTTTTGTTTGAATGAATAAAATCAATGCTGAGGAGACTTTAATAGATTTTTAATTGATTAATTACTTGTTGCATCGCAATGGGCATCAAAAGTGGCTCAACTCATCTAAAAGTGTGCATTTTTAATAGAGGGCAACTGCCAGGAAAAAGATCCCATTTATTTTCTTCACAGGGAAATTGATTTTGAACAATCACTTCTGAACTATTAAAGACAGAGCTACTGTTGAAGCCATCAGCCCACATTATTTCAACTTATTTTTTTTAAATAATCATGTTGAACATGGGAGTTGCTGGTCAAAACTACACTACTCATGATTCTGCAAAAAAGTAATCGACAAAGTCAGGTGCTGTATTCTTTCAAATGCGTATTTTGCTATAAATGTATATAAAATATATATTGTTTTAAATACAATCAATATCTTTAAGTCAGTTGTTTTAGATTTATCCATTGTTTTGATTATGTCATTCACAATGCTTCATGGGATTTTCAAATACTTTTTCTTTGAATTAAATAACATCATAAATTTCACTGTTCCTCACACAAACCTACTGCATGGCTTTAGAAGAAGTCTCATGGACTACTTTCATGGTGCTTTTTAATTTCATTTTTTGCTTTAACGCCCACCCCTACCAGTAGGAGTTCTGCTTTTGTAAAAGAGAGAGGTAAGACCAGTGAAGGGGTGAAATCAAGAGGGCACGGAGAAGAGAAGAACTGTCAGGAGGTGGAGAGAGAACAGAGAAGATGCTGTCAAATAAGTGAAACAAACACGCATGCACACATGTATAATAAAAGCGCAATTCCGATTCCTGATTTTAATGCTTCATAAAAGCACTTACTAATGAGTATGATGGTTATAAAAGTCTACAGACTTAATATGCAGACCAATAGAGAGGATGTCAGAACTTCTGAGAGGTATGCTGCTTTACATGCAGTGATGCCAACAGAAACATTTTGTGGTAACGAGTTTTGACAGGCCATTGTGCGTGCATAAGAGGGATCCTTGCTCAGCGCTGTACAGTCAAGTTACCATTACCTTTGCTTGAGGATGCCATTTATTTTGATATGAATTTGAATTTTGTGGGAATCAACATGGACATTTTTTTTTAAAATGTTTACTAAAAACAGTAAAAAGGAAGGTTTTTCTCCCAAAATATAAACTATTAGGAATACAAGTAGACAGAGCATTAAAATGCATAGCATGTGCATTCTGGGTCTCTCAGAGACCTCTCTCTGCGCTGTGTGGTAAAACGTCAGAAACTAATCTTGCTCTATTGCAATTTTTATGGCTTCAACCTTGAGAACAACCATAAAGACAGATGTGAATTGGAGTAACTTGTTCCGCGAGGGTCTGGAGGATTTTCCCCTTGGTAACAAACAAGTCTGAAGAACCCTCTGCCCTGCCATCTCAGCCAATCAGCAATGGCTTGGTCTGTTCAATCCCTGTTTATTTCTCAGGTTTACATTCTTGTACCATGCAGCTATGTCGGTCATGCTTTTCCCCCCGATTTTCTCCTCCAAGCCAGAGAAAACCTTGCACATAAAACCAAGCTGCATGTCAGATGTTGTGATACCTGAAACTGATCTCACTGCATCCTGGAAGACAACAGCCTTTATTTCAATTGGTCTAACTATTTCTGCCTTAGTTTAAAATAGCAGAGATGAAATACCAACGCACCAACACAGAAGGCAGAGGAAGTGATCAGAAGAACCGAATGTATAAAATGAATGTCTGCTAAGTTACTAAATGCCATCAGCCTGCGAAAAATGCAGGAACAGCAGGCTGAAGTCATTTGTGAAGCATCTACTCTCTCCTCATAAATTCTCACAGACCTCGTCTTGAATCACTAATTTGGATGACTAAAAAGATGACTGTAGACCTAAAATGATATTCCTATGGTACAAAACTGTAAGTGCACACTTGTATGGTGGCAATAATAATTGGTTTTATTTACAACAACATCATTACAGCTATAAACGTGAATCTTGAGGATTCCTCAGAAAAGTAACAGATTTATTTATGGTGTAGCAAATGCACATATGAGCCCTACACCCTTCCAAGTGCTCCCCATAGTGAGTAGGGGTCATAATGATTCTCGCTTTCCTATGGAATTCACCCTCTTTTTCTCTTCTCCAGCTCACTCTCTCTCTCTCGTTTTAACACCAGGCCTCTCCCTCTTTTCACAACTGCTTTCACACACTCACTCACACACTATTCTCTTTGTCTTTCTCTCTCCTTCGTTTACAGCCCCACTCTCACACTCATGCTTTCAGCCCCCTCATCACACCTTGTGTCTTCTGCTCTGACACGTTATACTCCGTCTCCATCTCTCTTCATTGATATCCTGGAAGGAACTATGAGTCATGGGCTGTTTTTTCCTGCTTTCCTTATTTAGGTTGCATCAGTAGTGCTTTTTGCATTACACATCTGAAAGTGTGTGTTCACGCTCAAGGCAGATATAGGGTCAGAGGGTTCATTTCACCATAGATGGGAGCAATCCAAATATACAGACAGCTGGTAGGAAATTATAGGTTCAATTAGGTTCAATAATTTTTAAAATAACTATGTGAAATTGGACAGATGCATTCCAGCTATATCCTGCCAAGCAGTGCATTACAATGTTAACTGGGTTTTCTACAGAACTGTGAAGTGTTCAGAGTGGTTTTTAGTATTGATATGCTGTAGCTAGGACGTTGGTAGTTGGTAGGCTCAAATCAGATTATATGAGAATGACAAAATATGTAATTAAATAGTAGTAGTAGTAGTATTGCTTGCACATACAGTATGGTTATAATACTAGCCACAATAACTGGGAGTTACTGTAAATTTTCAATATATTTGAAAACGGGGTTATTATTAGCTATTGTTGCAATTAAAAATAAAACTATTAAAACTGTTTTAATTGAAATAAATCTGAAATATAATAAAATATGAATATTTTATAAATGAATAAAAATAGAAATAGATACATTAAAAATGTTGCCTTGTCAACTAAATAGAATATGTTTAAGGTGAACCAATACAATACAATTACTGTTTATTAAACAACTAAAATAAAATTAAAACTCAATCAACCTAACTAGCACATAAAACAACCTAAATAATAAACAAAAAACTGAATTTGAAAAAACAAAATTATATACAATACATTACTTTTAATAAAAACTATAATAGCATATAAAGAAAAATAAAATAACGCAGAGTAACTGAACGCTTAATTCCAGGTAAGATCTCGAATAGGTCTAAAAACCTCAGATTTACTTCTATCACATGCACCATTTGCTAACAGTCTTTTTAAAGGGTCCTCCTCAGTGAAGCGATTCAGTTGCTCACTTTTATTTGTAACGATACTATATGCGGCGTCCCCTTCAAGGGCGTAAAAAACACCATTTGGAATCGTCCAGAGACAGGCAGAGTCAGAGAGAGAAGGGAAGAGTTGTAACGTGACTGAAGTACAAAGCATAAGAGTGGGAAAAACAAGAAGGACTGTGAATGGCCTGCATCTGTCTCTCTGTCGGCCGGTTCATCAGACAGTGAACGTGCCGTGCAGGTCGAAAACATAAAAGGCTGTGCAGAGATGCATCAAAATTGTGCAAACACCAAGGTCATCAAAAAGAAATGACAGTCCAGAGTAGCACACAGTGTCCTTTGGCTTTTAACCCCACTCTGTTCTAGCATAGAAATAGGCTCATTGAGTAATTTGATGCCTGCACTAAAACCAGTTTTCAGGCTTCGACTGATCATATGTTAGATCATATCTAACGCTTCATTCCAACTAGGTATGACATGTCGAGTTTCAGGTCTCAAGTAATTTTTCTTTCATCACTGACAGCTAAATGCTGTGCAAAGTGACAAAATCGTAACCAGAGCATATTTGATGTATAAAGTACAGCTATTTAGAGCTGTACTGTGTTCTTTTTTCAAAATAAATTATAGAAAAGTGTGCACATCCAACCCAAATTGCAGGAAACATCTATAAATATCCGCACACTGACCTTATTGCTCCAACAACGATAAATAACACCATACAGCAGAATTCATGAAACACAAGCAGAATAATTTCTGTGCAAAATGCTTGTAAAACATATCATAAAAAGACAGACTTTAATTCTGATTGTATTTAATGAATGTGGCCAAATGTGTTGATATTTACTTGTAATATTTGGCCAATTAGATATCACTGTCTGTGGCATTAGACAGCAAAACGCATCAAAAATTGTAAGTAGCGTCCATCAAAATGTCTTGATGCATGCCATTGTTGATGGTCGCAACTTTTACATGGAAGATATTTTTTATTGGTATATCGTTTTACCCTTCATTGTGTCAGGGGTAGTTAGGACACAGTGCTACTGTAAACTGGGTATAAATAAAATAAAACAGAATAAAGGAAAATAACAAAATAAAAATGATTTCTCCTAATGAAAGAAACTAAATAATTAAATGATATGTTTGGCCATCCTGAAAATAAAAAATTGTCCTGGCGCTGGTAACTCACGTGCAGACATCAACAAGGCTGTCTGCATTCAAATCACACACGATGCACTAGTTCAGGCATTGGAAGAAATGCAAAGTGAATGAGAAAGAGACAGAAATAATGAGCAGAAGGAGCTTTAGTTGGGAGATTGTGAGGACAGACTAAAAAAAAAAACGAATGAAAATGAAGAAGAGATAGAAAAAGCAGTCTAAAAAAGGGTGGTTACTGATTTACTGCAGGATAACAGGCAGGTCATGAAAGCATTCAGCATTGCCATCATGCAACAGCACTGCTACTTTGCCGGTGTGTTATGTGGCACTCACTGCCTGTAGTAGAAGAGGAAGCAGGGGCGGGCGGCCCAGCAGCCGCAGCAGAGTTGGCGGACAGGGAGGAAGAGGAAATCCCTACATGGGTGGGGCTAGAAACAGTTTTAGCGTCATTGTGCTGGCTGACCACGGAGGGCTGGCGACGCAGGGCCCCAGGCACCGCCGTTTGGCCCGTCTGGAATGTATAAACTACGTCCATCTGCAAAGAACAGGGAGAGGATGAGGGGGGGAAAATAGAGGAAGAAAAGGAAACAGAGAAAGACAGAGACCAAGGGGCCAAAAGGAGTGGTTAGAGCAGATACATTTGTTATTTGAAAGAGAAAGAGAGAACATCCCCTCATCCCACAAATAAAAAGTTTGGTTAGTACTGAGTGAGTCTGACAGGAGAGGGGCTGGCACAGGAAGATAAATAGGAAAGTTTTATGTGGAGAACTATTTTTTCCAGGAGAAAGGAAATGCTGTGAAGATGTCCGTGAAAAGAAAGGGAGCACAAAGGAAACTAGCTCTATGAAGTACTGATGAGTCTGAATCGTACGTGTGCCAATTATTTCTTTCTTTGTGTACCACTAACCATGCATGACAGATATAAAATAGAAATCCATGAGGATTTTAAAAGTGGGGTGGTGGGACTTTGAGCGAGGGGGAGAGATAAGAAGCTAATTAGTTGAGTAGTGTTTTTGCGGTCAGTTCAACAGCTCGTGATCAGGAATAAGAGCGAAGGGGAGGGAGGAGGATGAGAAGACTGTTCGGCCTCTTTTTCATTTGGGCTTGGAGGGAAGTCTGATAGAATTAGCAGGGACGGTGATCTGAAACCACAGGGGGTCCGGACGTATCCAGGGCACATACACATTAAAACTCTCCCTCCCCTTCACACATTACTGCCCAATTAACTTACATAGAAGACAAAAGAAGATTATACAATGAAAACGAAAGTACACTATTTAATTCAGGCTAATATGTGAATATCATAGGAGAATGTTAAATTAGAATAATTTAAAATAAAATGCAATAAAGAAAGTTAGATAAAAAAATACTCAAGTACTTGTCTTGCCTAGTAAAAACATATAAAATCTATGTAAAAATACATCATATACATTTTAAAATAATTGATTTAAAAGGTTCATGCCATTGGCAAATCGCTTTTTTCTTGTGTTAAGCATAAAACGTACAAAACTAATAAATAAATAAAAAGAATCTTGTTTTAAGGAGGTTTGAAAAAATATTTAAAAATCATAAAATTATATACGATTATTTTTGCATTGTAAAAAAAATTGTTAACTTGTTTTTGTTTAATTACTTATATGCTTTGAGTGATCCCAGACTATTACATAATGCACTACTAAAAAGATAAAATTAAAACAGATGTTTTGTCTGTTATCTTCAAAACAACTTTTGCAACAACAAGTTAATTAGAGGCGATTAGATAAAGGGATAACCAAATGTTTTCAACATCACTTTGTAGGCTGTTAATTTCACTTCAAATCAAATCACTAACACGTCAACATATTGATCTTTTACTCCAAAATATTGATTCCTAACACCGAAATGATTTGATGAGAGCTGTAACAAAGAATGGAGAAAGAACAAGAACAAAAGAGAAAAGGGTTTAAGATGATCCCATATGGCAACATGAATTCCCCATGACCTGGCGCATTGCTGAAAGGCAAATTACACATTTCTTAACGATACAAAATGAAAACAAAACTAAAACTAGGGCTGCACGATAAATCGCATGCGATATTTAACGCGCATCTTGTCAGAAAGCCGGTTCTGTAATCAGCGGTAAATCTCCATCACCTGCGGCCTTTCACATGGAGCAGCATTAACTACACAGAGCCGTTGTTCACTGACGAGCTGTGCAAAAAATCGCGCGAATATGAACGTGGTTTTGTGCAGCTCGTCAGTGAACAACGGCTCTGTGTAGTTAAGATTTACCGCTGATTACAGAACCGGCTTTCTGACAAGATGCGCGTTAAATATCGCATGCGATTTATCGTGCAGCCCTAACTTAAACGAATATGTTGTTTTCAGAAGTGACAGGAAGCAAATCTACAGGGATAAATCAGTGCCTGTGGTATACACTGACAATCTTTGGTGGGTGGTTTACCATAGTGTTTGCTATAGAACATTCTTAATAGGCACTAGTGATGCGCGGATGGCGGTTATATCCGCGGGCGCTGCGGATAATCCGCGGATCGGGTGGGTCGGGTAACAAAAAAATGCATTCTGATTATTTGCGGGTGGGTCGCGGGTGGATAAAATAAATCATTAATGATGCAAGTATTAACTACATTTTCTAAATTTTGAGCTCATCCGCGCATCACTAATAGGCACAGAACGCCCTCTCAGAAAGATCGCCCACCAACACACAGAAACTCCTGGAGGATCCAGATAAATACATCTGTGAACCCTCTCACTGAATCCACTCATTGTTTGTGAGCTGCAACACTGTCATGTATGAAGGCAATGGTAAGTGAAAGGAGGTCCTCCCACACGGCCTCCATCAACAGAGCTTAAAAAAAAAAGTCTGTTCCCAGTCGTTTCCTTGCACATCTTCTGTTGAAAGCGAGCAAATGTTGCTGTACAGTCCCCAGTTATCTCTAGGCAGGTTGTGCATATAGTCACAGAGACATGGGTTGCCCCACTGGCACTTCAAGAGTGTCATCTCCAGGGCACATACTGCTTTTCAACCTGGGAGACCTAAGCAGCTCACAAGTCTTTGCTTAGTCTTAAGGGAGATGCTTTTCCACAAATGACCCCATGGAGATGCTTGAAGGCCACTAGGGTGATGTCTACACAAAAAAAGCCAACGGCTATCTAGAATGTTCACTAATAATGCCGCTTTCAGCAACGTGCATGCTGTTTGGAGCTGAAAAAAAAAATGTATTTGTTGTTCCAAACAAATTAAAAGCAAACCAATGAAATACTAAAAAGGATTGCATCCCATTTTTTATGCAGGTCAGAAAATTCTGATGATAATAGCGATGATATTTAGCTAAACAAATAATTTACTGCAACTTTTTCAAATCTCTTGTATATATAATTTATTAAATATTACAAAAGGAATAAAAATATAATTTTTATATAATAATTATAAATTATAAATTGAGGATTAATACAAAATTGCTTGACATTTTTCTTTTTTCTTTCTTTCTTTAACAAATTCTGGTACCATTTAAAGTGAAGAAACAAAGTAGCAAAGCAACTGTTAAACATATTGACAATGGATCAAAATAGATAAAAAATATCAGTAAACCCCACATTTAAACAGTAAGCTGCCAAAGAGCAAAGACATTTTCTCCAAACAACATCTACAGTGGCAGAGTTGTGCATGAGTCACTGCTGTTGTATTTAAAGGGGTCATATGATACGATTTCAAGTTTTCCTTTCTCTTTGGAGTGTTACAAGCTGTTCGTGAATAGATAAGATCCCTAAAGTTGCAAAGACTAAAGTCTCAAACCCAAAGAGATATTCTTTATAAACGTTAAGACTCGTCCACGCCCTCCTAAAACGCCTCGTTTAAACACGCACCCACATGTCTACATCACTGTGTGGGAAGATTTGTATAACGCTGCCCAAATGTTTACGCAAAGAAAGAAGGCTTAACTTTGATTCTCGCTAGTATTGTTGCTGCCGCTGCCATGTCATGGAGACACTGTGTGTTTCGTTGCAAAAGCGAAAATACTTTGCTTGGTTTTATTGTTTTTGTCTCGTCGCACTGGGACATGGCATCACAGTATGGTAAGGGGCATAACATTTCCGTCACACGCACACATCAATCACAACGCACTGGATAGCTGGCCAATCAGCGTACACCTTGCTTTTCAGAACGATGAGCTTTGTAAAAATTGCAAAGAATTATTATAAAAATTACGTGTTTCAGAAAGGCAGGGCATAGAGGAGAAACAATAATGTACAGTATGTGGAAAATAATGTGTTTTTTGAACTTTAAACCTCATAAACACATTTCATTACACCAAATACACAAAATAATGTTCTTTTTTAGCAACGTCATATGACCCTTTTAAGCCATTTCTACTCTCTCCTGGCACACCTGCTGGAAGAGACAGAAAGGAAGAAGGAAGAAGAAGCAAATAGCAGCTTGCCTGAGTTTGGATGCGGTTGAGACCTCTGAACCATAGGATCTGTCCCTTGCGCATCTCCATCTCAGCATGGTCAATTTCATCCGCACCTTCGGTTAGCACCTCATCGGCGATGTCCTCTTTGGGGATGCCGTGGCCAGCCTCTTTCAGGAACTTGAGGCGGTGTGTGGGGACGGCAGAGATGAACTGGAGAATGAGAAGAGAGGGGGGGAAATGGGGTCAAGTGATGGCAACTGTAGCTCATCAAATAGTCATTAGCACAGCGGTTGTGATTATGGATGGCTTTCCGAGAACAGGATGCTGAGAATGTGGTGAATAAATGCAAAGATTTTATGAATCCTTATGGCATTTGACCGCAAGTTCTTTGTATGTTAAAAAGCAAAAAGTCCCTTTAGTGAATGAAAATTGTGAGTACAAACTACACATAACATGAAGCTTGCTTGATTAACCGCCAAAATGTTGAGATTAAACTGATATTAAACTTATTCAAGCAAGGATTCATGAAACTGATGAAGTGACAGTAAAAACTTACATTGTTACAAAGATCTGTATTTCAATACTGTTATTTTGAACTTTCCATTCATCAAAGTATCCTGGAAATAAAATCTCCACAAAAACATTAAGCAGCAAAACTGTTTTCAACATTGATAATTAATCTTTCTTACGCACCAAATCAGCACAGTAGAATGATTTCTGAAGGATCATGTGACATTGAAGACTGGAGCAATGGCTGCTGAAAATTCAGCTTTGCCATCACAGGAATAAATTATAATTTAAAATACATTAAAACAGAAAATGGTTATTTTAAATTGCAATAATATTTCACAATTTTACTGTTTTTATTGTATTTTTGATTATATATATATATATAGATAATTTATTTGGTTGTAAAAATTCACAGATTTAAATTCCTGCATGTTTTTTTTTGTTTTGTTACTGAAATGTTCAGTTAAATGCTGCTGTTAGTTAACTGTTTTTAATTCATTTATAAACAAGAGTGTTTTACTAGTCGTATTTAAATTGATCATGATACATTTACATTTTACATTTAGTCATTTTGCAGACGCTTTTATCCAAAGCGACATACAATTGGGGAATACATAAAGTTATTCTTCTTAAAGAGGCAAACAGACACAGGAAGTGCTCGTAATAACAAGTTTCAGGCATTTGTTCAAATAAGTACAAGATAGAAAGGGAAGGAATAAATAAAGAGAAAGACAAAGTTTTTTTTTTTTTTAATTTAGGATATCATTTATATGATATCCTTATCGTTTCTGTGCCAGATGAATACTGTTCTGATTGAAAATAAATGATGCAGTTATACATTTCAAAAGACATCCATTTAATTTCACACATTTAAGCCACCCATAGCTTACATGTAGATAGGTACCGTTTATAAGTAACTTTTCTGGTATCTAAATACTTTATTTTAAAGAGTTGTAATTTAACCTCTTTTAGGGCTGCACGATTAATCGAATGCGATTGTCATGCGTATCTTGTCAGTAAAGCCGATTCTGTAATCAGCAATAAATCTCCATCACCTGCTTTAAGATGGAGCATCATTTACTACACAGAGCCGTAGTTCTCTGACAAGCTATGCAAAATCGCGTTTATAATCGCAGACAATTTAATCGCACGATTATGAAATCGAAGAAATTGTTCTGCGATTATGAAAGCTGTTTGCGTAGCTTGTCAGTGAACTACGACTCTGTGTAGTAAATGCTGCTCCATCTGAAAGCATTTGAAAATATCACATTTAATAACATGCTTTTACTCCAAACTCACTTCATAACATCAGTCGAGTGTTTGAAGTAAATCCTTCTGTGAGATGATGTGGCTTCTTACACAGAATAAGGCATGCAACATATTTCATAGTATTCTAAGCAGTGACAAAGGCTATATGTCAATTGTCATTGCATTATTATATACTTTATTATAATAAACATTATAATAAGACAAACTCAAATAAACCATATATTGTCGTGGTTGTGTGTTTATTAGTCACGGTGAATCAAAAGCAGTGAAATCTTCTGTTTATTCAGCAACTGCTATAGGGATTTCCTAGGTTTCTTCTGCGGGGTGTATTTGGAGTTTCCGCACGAGAGCGCCCTCTGGCCTTCGGATGGAGATTTACTGCTGATCACAGAACCGCGCTTCCCTGAAAGATACGCATGACAATCGCAGATTCTGCCTAATCGCGATTTATCGCCTTTCCGATTTAATTTTGATTAATCGTGCAGCCCTAACCTCTTTCATTTTTAAAGCTACAGTTTCAAAGGGACCTCCCAACATAAATACACACATATGCCAGTCTCTACCACCTATGGTAGCTCTAAAATAGTTATTTAGTTATTTCTGCACATCACTGAGACAACTTAATACATAGTGGATAGAATGCACGCTGCTTCTCCTCCATGTTTAAGTTCCCAGCATCTGGTTTGTGAGGCTGCACGTGTGTACACCACAAACAAATGCTTGCATGCACAAACACCAGCTGAGAAACCCAGTAGGAAATGGCTTATGTGTGATGCAACTGCCAGAAGGAGCAGACGGCTTGCAGCTCTAAAGGCTTTATTCATACTTGATAACTTCCCCGGCCTTTTGATGACCTAACATGATGCATCAGTCCCGCATACAGAGTTTTAAATGTACTGTAAGCATGGATGTATAGAGGCAGATAACCGACCTTTTGCTGCCGGGTTGATGATAAAGCTCACAGCTCTCCGTCCTTTTTCTGAGCTGAACTTTGAGATGGCGGCAACTGCTCTCTGGAATTGTGTCTGCCAGCCTCCCTCGTTCCCTCCCACAGGTTTGAAATCGTACACAGCTTCACCTCCCCCTCCCCTGCCCTCCCAGTGGGATTGAAGAGAGAACTAAAGATGTTCCACATCACCCACGCATGTGCATTCTGCCGTGATGTTTTCATTATTTCACCACTTCGAAGCTTGTAGATCTCTCTCTTTCTCACTTTGTCATTTGTAAATGCGCTCATCTAACTAACTCGTTGTTTTGAGGTACTGATTAGTGATGAACAATGACATACTGTAAGGATTTGCCTTACCTGGCCCCAGAGCAGCTCACCGACTCCTATGAAGATACACCAGAGCCACTGATCGATGGTGAGGGCCGTGCAAGAGAACGGCTTCCCTCCAAACTGCACTATGATTATCTGTAACAAGGTGTATTTCATTAGTCCAGCTATACTGCAAAGAAATAAGCCACAAGAGACCGAGATATAGCAATTTCAACATGGTTAAGGGGTGTTGTTTGGGTTACTTTAAAACAGTGTAGTTGTAGCTAAAATAGCTGCAACAAATGGCCTCGGGTTGATTGGTACTTTTATAATACAGTAGCAACAGCAACCTGATAAATGATGGACAATCCCAAAAAAAATAATTCTTAATTTTTTTATGCATTTAAAGGTCATTAGATGAGATCACTATTATATAACATAAAATTATCATTGCTTGAAAAGTATCTAGCTTTAAACACATCAGTGGCTGGTTGCATAAACTACTCAGACTAGTATTACAAGTTAGTAGTAATGGTTTCTATTGTCTTTAAGTCAGTTACGTAAAAACGGATTGGTCTAATTTGAACACAAAAAGTAAGATTGATTATCAGACAATTATCAGTTCAGTGTTTATGCAACCTAACACTATAATGCATCAAATGTCTGTATCTTGAGGGTGACAAACAGCAACTTTACATGACCATTTGTTGGGGATTTTTTCTTTTCTTTAAAAAAAATTTTTTTTGAAGGCTTCATCCCCGTTTTGTAGCCTATTTGTGGAAAAGCGTCTAACCTTATCTAAGCAGCAACTTAGCACATTAATAAACTATTCAGTTGACATGCAGTGATATGATTGTACATACGAACATTTTATTTTTACAGCTTTTGAACAAGCCAAAACTATCCCATTTTATAAAGATTATATAGTCATATACTTCATAAAGACATTGTGAGAGATGACATTTTGATAATTTTATGTAATGTATAATGCTACATTTAATTTAATTTCATTTTATACCTGCAGAGCAAAGGTTCCCAGAACAACGCAGCAGAAAATGGGGTTCCTGTAAATTCCCTCAAACACGTTCCTTTCTCCGTGGATCTTGCGGGCATTAATCTCATTGAAAAGCTGCATCATTACGAAGACGTTGAAGATTATGGTGTAGTGTTCAGATGGCGGGGAGTGCAGAGGAGCATTGCGGCCACTATCAATGTTGAAGAACTTCTCACCTTTGGGCAAAGAAAAATGGTGTCCGTAAATAAGTGATGTGAAAGTTTAATATCTATTTCAAAATGTCATAGTATTGCATGTCAGGAGGAACACTGATCTCAATAAATGCTGAATGGGGTCTTCAGTGCAGCTGTTTCTTAAAGGTCACATATTTGACACCTTTCTGGAGTTTTATTTTAAGTCTTGATGTCCTTAAGAACATATATTTGCGGTATAAGTACCAAAAACCATCTCAATATATTTTTACAGCTCCTCTCTCAGGAGCTCTGCAAAGAACAGGTCGATTTTGGCCTGTCTAATTAATATTCATGAGACTCTCTTCTGATTGGCCTGTTGTTTTCTGAGAGATGCATGGCCAGGCCAACCACAGGTAACTAGGGTCATGTATGCTGTAGCCTGCTGTGGATTGGTGATAATCACAAGTAAGGTCAATAGAAACACCGGTAATGATGGTCACTGCTGAGGGAAATGTTGTCCGGCCTTA